TCAGTGTGTCCACTTATTCTTTTCAGGACATTTGCTTTCAGTTTTTCAAGGAAATCTGCAGAGATATGATTCCTTTCAGACTGATAGTGTTGTCTTCTCACAGTGGAAGGATGGACAGAAACACTGTTAGAAATAAAGGTTCTGTTCAGGTACATTTTTCGTTCATTAAGGTACAAACAATGTAAATGTTCCCTCAAAGGTAAAACAGTAGTTTTAAGGTCTGATTGTGAACCTTAAATAAGTTTTTCCAGGTGAAAAGTTTGTATTTGTACCTTTTCATAACCGAATGTTTTAAACAGAACAGTAAAATAAAAGCCTGGAGACGAGACGGGGTGTGTGGAGTCAGTACAGCTTAGAGAATATCATTTCAGTGGATTATGGTTCAGTTATGTTCCCTGACTAAAGGTACTGAGATGGAGCCTTGAGGGAACCACCCCAGTGACAGTTTAGTACCTTTATTTCTGAGAGTGTACCTGTAGATGTTTTCAGATCTGAAGCAGCTTGATTTTCTCCTCTCTCTCAAAGATGAAAGCTTTAAGTGCTGTTTATCTGATGGGGGCAGTTTTGGTGTCTACCAGGTCTTCCAGGTGGTTGTTAGGAGTCTCATTTTCTGCTTTCTTAATTCCTTTTTTTAAACTCCTTCAACTTCTACATATATATGAGGAACGACAAAAAAAATTGGCATAAATAATCGAACAATCACAATGAGTCGACATCATATCTGCTACTTACAATGTAGTTTATGCTGTTATTGTACAGTGGTTGTTGTTTACAGGCCCTCTATAATTGAGCCCCTCCAACCACATATTAACCATTCCACCCTTTTTTTGGATGACAAGTTTTGAATAATTTTGTACAAAGTTTTACATTAAAAAGCCGAACTATACTTTTTGTTTTAGTGATCCCATTATTTTAAACACAGGACATCAATGTCATACCATGCTTACTACTACTACTACTTAACTGTCCCAGTAAGACACTCATGATATGCTCAGAAAAGCATATTATGATATTTTTATCACAATAACAGTGAAATTGCCCAACCCAGAGCTACTTATAAACCCAGATCCCAGTTCAAAGAAGATCTGATCATGTATTTGAACAAATTAAGAACTTCCCAGACAAGTACTGAACGACCATACCATAACTTTATTGTAGATACATTTAGCTACAATTATTTCAAAAAACAAAAAAAAAGGGAAAATAAAGACTATTAAAGGTATTTGTGATCCATAAGGTGCAGATCGTAAACCACTGCAGCACTTTTACAGTATGAATGAGAATTATTTCATATTTTATACGTCCCTTAAAACAGCGCTGCAGTTCGTGATGGCCCATAATTCCCCGTTTGAAAGACACTACACGCTCCGTCCCGCGCCGTTGGTGCTCCGCCGGTCTCTGACGACCAACACATTCCTACAAACTCCATCGCAAAAAAAAACAAAAAACAAAACAAAACAAAAGAGTTCACGTCACATTCCACACTTGCTCCTCTTGGCCACCTTGCTGCTGATATGAGTGCATTTGATTTTTTTGATTAGGTCAGTAAACCAAGAAAGAAAAAGAAAAGCCAAAACACATTACAGGTTAACGAAATGCAGGAAACTGCTTGCTCAAGCCCTTCTTTATGGATTTAGGGGCTGCAAAATTGTTAAACGAGTTATAGAGCATAACCAGCCAAAAGAAAAGGAAATAAGGGGTCAAGGAGAGGGGGATTTATTCACCGACATGCACTATTTAACCCGAAACTACTAGGGTATGTCAAATATAATCTAACTAATGGTGGAACAAAGTCACCTAAACATAATGCGAGACATGCCTGTCGAAAGACTTGGTAGTTTTGCAGGTTACATTACAATATTGAAAAAAATTACATTAAGGCTGGACATGAATGTACACACAGGACATACATTTAGCCCCAGATTGTAGAGATCAAACTACTACTTTTCTACAGTGTATTTCTCAGATGATGTCCTGCAGGCACGTTGAATCTTTCTGATCACTTTTTTTCTTTCTTTAAATACAATTGTAAAATACCAGCAGTGGAACAGCAGCAAGGCCAAAACCACAAAGTTATTCTTTTAAACGTAACGGCATCATATATACACATTTTTTTTTTCTTTCTGACATGAGGTAAAGTATGGCGCCCAAGTGCAATGCTCATTTGTGCTACATGTACAAAAGCGAAGAAAATAAGGACAAATTTCTCAGCCAGTAAGAAGAGAAAGACAGTCTGCAGCATACTGTACGATGGAGGACTACACCGAAAACCCCCGACGAGGACAAAAAACGTGCCATTATTACTCTTTTTACACAACAGTTAGGTCATTATCTAAGCCTGGGAGCAGCTCCGGTTTTAATTTTCATTCTGATTTTCGCCGTTCGGTCACCAGGACTTTAAAAAAAACAAAAACCCAAAAAAACAGGTGTGGCACCGTTCGAGTGAGTTCACATTCTTCGAAAGAAGCTGAAAGTGTGGAAACATGCCGTTGATCCACTGGGGGAAAAAAAAACAACAAAAAAAAACAAAGCAGTAACAAGAGCTGAATGTGAAAATGCTGCTCTGATCTGGTGTTGTTTTAAGCACCTCTTTCCTGGTAAGCCAGCCATTCACCATTTACCAACCTCCATCGATTGTGTGGCAATATGAAAACCCATTTAGATCGGATGACTGTATAAGACGAAACACAAAAAAAAAAAAAAAACAACATGGGGATGAAAACAAGGAAAAGCATACAGGGTCACTCAACTCTTGCTCAACTAAAAGATTGCACTCAGACAGCTGAGGAACCTTTACAGATCAGGCCAGACAGTGACCCAAGTGTCTATTTAGCCTAGTAAAGAATTACGGTACAGTCAAGAAGCACACGGCACCCAGCATATCTATATATAGAGACACCACAAAGCAACGTCTTGACTTGCTACGATTAGTACAAGGTGGATTTGTTACATGCTAAAAAGACAAAAAGGCACCATTTTTGGGCAAAAAGATTAGCTGAGCAGGAATGGATTCTAGTGCAAACTGTAGTGTGAATACAAGTATCCCCGTCTAAGGTGCAGAGAAGAGTTACAGGAGCAAAAACACTGAGAGTAACGGCCGTATCTGCGAAATTACAGGTACATTTACACATATATCGGTCAACACTGCTATAATCTGGACCGTCAAGCTAATCACATGGGTGTTTTTTTGAGGTAGCAGCACCTGGGAGATTGAACTTCAGTAAATTTGCCCAAACCGCAAGCCAGCAGAGCTCAGAGGAGGAGGTACCAACAGGAATAACAACGTTCAGGTAGTTAAGACACGTCACAGACGTGACATGGAAGGAATAAAAGCCTAAATTCTAACAATCACTACAGCCTACGCCTCCATTTCCGGGATTTCTATACAATCCACGCAATCTGAAATTGTCCTAGGTGGAGTTGGTGGCCTAGTAAGACTTGATAATACCTTTAGGAAGGGGTGCAACATGGCTTGCGCGTGGTGTGTTAAGAAAGCTGTGCAGATACGAGTGCAATCTGTTGATTTCCACAAGTGTTAAGCAACCCTTTTTTGATCGGATGCACAATTAGTTTGAATCGAAGTTCCGCAAGGAGGCACTGAGCTCAAGCTTATGTGCAGAGAACGTCTCTCAGCTTTCCCCAAACGTCTTCAAGCTTTAAATTAAAAGGGAAACAATTAAGCTGACCACTACAGCTTGACCACTGACAAAAAAAAAACAGGACAACCAACCCAACAGATTTCAAAAAAGGTAAAATAAAGAGGTATTATAGTTACAGTGCAAAAAAGATGAGAAATTCAAGCTTAATAATAAAAAAACATAGCACCAAGAAAAACATACAGGAAAAAAAAGAAAATGCATGCAATTAACTGAGGTATTCGAGTGAAAGAATGCCTATCATTAATACGAAGACAAATAGGCTAGACGAGAAGCTACGACACGCATACGTTAAAACAAAGGCTGGTTTCCACGTCTAAATGAGTGAATCATGGGAGGATTGACTTCACAGATGCGGCCGCATCGCGCCGCGTCACTGACTTTGGTAAGTGAAGTGAATGAACTACAAGTCGTCTATTAAAATATCGGTCGTCCTAAAGACTGTACGTAAAGGTGCTCTGTGTCTTACAGAAGTATCCAATATTTTTTTTTCGTCTTTTTTTTTACAAAATCTGCAGCATATTTTCCCCCAAGTGATATGTCTTCTTTATTTTTTTTGTGTCATAATATCAAAACTAAACGCATCAGTCAATGGAGACATCTAATGCTCATAATGACCGTCGACCAAAGGTTTTAATTCTTGGTATCAAAAGACATTACTGAAACCCCAAGTTATCAACTTGTTATAATAAACATTTAATATTCTCTCTATATATTTATATATAGATATATCGGTATATATCGGTAGATCTATAATATTTATATAATCCATTCAGTTGGCTTACGCAGCGACACAAACATGCATCCTCGAGTGCTGTTAAAAAACCTAATAACAGTAACTGGGAATGTTGAATTACTATCCACTTTTTAAGGACATGAGGGAGGGCCTTTCTCTCTCTCTCTCTCTCCTCTCTCTCTGTACATACCTAAACGATTTTGGTGCCGATCAGGCGAAATGTTCACGATTTGAGTTCAGAACACAGCGGACCCTAATGAAATAAGTGCAATGACGATTAAGAATAGCATCGTTTCGAGACCGTGGAGCACATCGTTCTCGCTCCGTGGTCTCTCTCTCTCGCTTTTTTTCCAACAAAGCGTTTTAAAAACGCTTCGAAACTGGCACTAGTGCACAGACTGAGGAGTTTAGCGTTTTTTTTTTTTCCTTATTTAAATGTATATCATTAAATTTTACCTATATACATTCTAACACTACTTTTAAGCATAAGCTTCTGTATGCACTACCACAAAGCAGAAGATATCTTTAAAAAGAGTTTAAAAAAAAGGAAAAGGAGAGCAGACACCTGACCTTTAACACTTACAATGCATGAATAAAGCACTCTTGTGATCAAACAGAGCTTGGAGGAAACAAAAGGTAAAGATTGTGTTTGCGCAAAAGAAAAGATGAACAAAAATGAACCCATAATTGTCTGTTTTAGTCTTTGAGAATCCTGTCGAAGTGATAAAACTCTCTCCTCGACTAACACAGAATGAGAAGACCGCTCGTGAAAAGTCTTCAGTGTGTTGCAGACTGTTGCGGAGGGGGGAGGGGGGGGGGTGTTTTGGGACCTGTATGAAGCTCAGTTGTTCTGGACCTGAGGTTGATTGGCTTTGAGGCTGCGCAGGGCTCGCCGGGCGGCCGCCGATTTGGCGATCCGGTAGCTGCGGCCCACGCCTTTGAACTTGCCTTTCCCCACCACCTCCACCGTCACCCGGACCTTTCCGTCGTACGTCCTCTCGGCAGGGCTGCGGGGAAGAGAGGAGAACCACAGGTGATCAATATGGAGCTGCTGCTGTCTGAATTCACACTACATGAACCACCCAATTCAGTGCCAACTGGTAGAAAAGTTGCCAGCAAAATCAGTTTCGATTCCCAGGGCAGCACAAACTGATTTAAAAAAAACTGCAAATATGCATACATTTGCATATCCTGGCCAAATCACGCTTTGTTGTTTATCTTTTTGTTTTTAGTCGTCTCCAATTCCACTCACTAGTTAGGAGGGCGAAGGCTACCACAGGCTTCCTCCGAGACACGAGAAGCGCCACCGCATCTTTTCGAACTGCTGCTCAACTCAACGTCATCGGACAGCCGAATGCGCTTGGAGAAGAGCGCCAACCGCCAGATCTGTTACGTCAGCTATAAGACGCCTGCACTGAGTGATGGTGGGGGAGACGGGGGGGCCACCCAACTCACCCAGCGAGAGCGAGGCCAACTGTGCTCTCTTGGACCCCCAGCCATGGACGGCTGTAGCATCACCAAGGATGGAAATTGCGATCTCTTGATGATGGGGCCAACGCGTAGACAGCTGCGCCACTTGGCAACCCAAGTAAACACATTTAAATGCACAATTACTGCTCCTTAGCTGATGCAGCATGTGAAAAAAATGTATCCTGTAAATAATCTGTTAAATAGAAGAATAATATCTGTGTAAACGCCTGTATCTGATTACATTCCCTATCGGAAAGTTTAAGTCCGTTCTGATCATGTGCGTCACGTCATAGTGAAAGTTTATACCGTTCAACATGGCGGAGCAGAAACTGGTCTGCAGAGGAGACAAAGTTTATGCTCTGATCGGCGGTGGGACGGACGTCCAGCTTATGTGTCTCAGAACACGACGTCTTCCTCTCGGCCTTCTTTAATAAGGACACGTGAAGGACGTTTTCCTGAGTCTGACGTAATTTTAAAGCAGTTAAAAACACAAGCACTGCCCACTGCTGCTCATCTCACTCTGACTAAACCTCACATGATGCTGGTTGTCATGGTAACGTTTACACTAAGTGGTTTTCTATGCATGAGCATCATTTTGGATCAGATTACTTGTAGTGAGCATGTAAATGAAGATTTTCCATCAGATTGTTGAGTAGAGTGAGAATAAACACCTCGGTCTTAATCTATAATCGGAATGTATTCAATCGGATTGGCAAAAATCTTTGTATATAAACACAGCCAGTGGCTGTGGTGGGAGGGGAAGGTGAAACATGATATTAGATAATACTTTTCCCACCCTCTGGAGAACAGTGACATCATCAAAACTCAGGTGTTTTAGAGGAGGGGTAAGTCGTTACATTGTAATAAACGTCGATTTTGCCTTCTAAGGGGTATAATATAATGAATCATGTATAGTACAACAAAAGACAAAGTACCAAGGTCAAATCAAAAAGGTCAAATTTGATTTCGGGTTTACTTTCATTCCATCATGGACATAAACTTCTCCAAGCTTTAACTAAACATTCCCTGAACACCTCATCAAACCCAGTGCAGCACACTGAGTGCGTTCACATGCACTCAATAATCCGAAAACTGCAGAAAATCAGATTTTGTCTGTAATCCAAATCAAAACGTTTACATGCTCTGGAGTAATCAGATAATGAGAAACTCCGCATCTACATGAGTCAGGCAGTAATCATATTTCTGCTTTGCAACCAGCCAATAAACTTCAAGACGTGACGTAAACGCAACGTAAAACTCACTTCATGACGCTGCTTTTTTTTTTTAAACATTTGCGCCACATTACCTGAAAATATGAACGTACATCATCTAGAAGATGAAGAACATTTAAATCTTTCATGTCGGGTTTCAGCGCCGCTCCGAAAGTGTTTTGCTGTGACGCGCAACATCCACCGTCTGATCTTGCGCATGCACAGAATGAGAAATCCGAAATCGGAGTCCGAGTTTACATGCACTGAGAAATCTGATTGCTGAGCTAAAATCCAGCTCTATCAGATTTCTTAATTGGATTTCTAGATCGGAGAATGGTGTTTACAGGATCATTTGAATAACCAGATAACTGCAGAAATCAGATTATGATCGGATTATTGAGTGCATGTATACGCACTCACTGTTTACACAATATTACTGTTTCCTTTACATTTCTCAAAATCAAGCTAAACGGGCCAGACTTTCTGATAGACATACAAAATGTTAGCTGCTGACTCTGCCAGGACCAGATATATTAGAAATGAAGTCACTGAATCAAGTATACCAGTTTAAATATATTTTCACCACAACATCAATAGTTCTCTTTTGCATTTCTAAATAATGATCCAATTACTACTCGTTATATCCAAGATGCTTCGAAAGATCAACTCTGCTGATCAACAAATTAACTTGGTGTACAAAACACTGTAATATACACAAAACTCTACAAGACTCGCACCTGAACTTTGCAGTCTCAGGCTCCATCTCCAGCAGTTCACGCACAGGCGAGCGGGGAACGTTGGCAGAGAATTTCTCTGAAAATAAACCCAAACAAAAGCCCAACATTTCAATATAGCATTTCATCACATACAAATATCAGGACATTTGAAAAAATAACCATGTTTAAGGTCCTCTCCGCATGAGCTGACGAACAATCAAACTATACAAAATGCAGGACTGATTCACAGACTGTACAGCGCGCGTCCTCACCTATCAGTGGCCTCATCATTGGATAATACACTTGCCAAACGGTCTCGAGTGACATATTGCTATCCATGTAAATTGCCCCGGCTAGTGATTCGAAGATGTCCCCCATTGCTTTGGGGACCTCAATATCCTCCTCTTTCTCCTCGTCTTCTTCGGATCGGCGCAGCTGAAAGGGAGAAAAGTGATTGCAGGTCATTTCCTTTTGTGGCGGAGTTTTCTCACAGGAGCGGGAACTGCGTCTAACCATATGGCAGACTCATTTTAAATTAATTGCAGGCGACAAATAGATGAAAACGTTATATGTAGCCGACCAACTCAAATTGTTATTCAAAAAGTGTGCTCTCAAAGTATGGTGCTCTCACTGCTTCTACAGTTTCCCCCCAGTAAACACGTACTCAGGTTCAAAATTGGTCATATATCGCGGGCCAAAACATGATCTGTGCTCAATTATTTTTAACATTGGACTTAACAAAAGCCTTGTCTGTTGTGCTCCAGCATATACCAGGGACAATGCTACCCAGCTATGTAATTAAGGGGAACATAACTTATTTTAATGAATTTGCCTTTCCTCATACAGTATCCAATGTTGTCCCTGAGGCATAAAATGCTTTCCAGTGAAACAAGACTAGGTTCAGTGCCAAGATAACCATTTCAGAATAAATTCAATCCAACTGTATTTTCCAACAATCCTGAAGAAAAAAAAAAAGCAAATACAAATACAGAACAGATTCTTAATGACTGCCAATGTTGGCATATTACTCAGCGCTCTTACTAGATTTACCCATAGCTGTTCAGTGTGGGAGTGCGTGTAAACATGTATAAGGCCTGTAAGTTCTCAAAGGCTACGTTTACACAGCAGGTAAAAGTGGCCCAAATCTGATCTTTTCCCTCATATGTGACACAGATGTGTGTCTGTGTGTCAGTGTGAACAGATAAACACACTGAATCTGACATTTTCAATTCTGATTTGAGACGCTTTCATATGTGGTACATATGTGGAAATCCGATATGTATCCAATCTGCAGCAATGCGACTCTGAACAGCCAGATCGGAATTCATGCGTCTTTTACATCAATCCAACTCCACATTCATCATAATTTCGCGCTGCTAAGACTCAAACATTTGGGGTGATATTTCTGTACAAAAATTAAGAGAGACTCATCCAAACCCTCCGTTTTCAAAGAGATTTCCGATATAAATATAAAACAGTTAAAAAAAATCCGAGGACACGAACCAAAGAAGCGATCGTGGCCGAATAACGTGCACTTTTTACAGCAAACTCGAACACACTCTGGGTGATGAGCCCAGCTGTCAGTCAGTGAAGCTTCATGATGGCTCCTGTGATGCTGGTGAAGATGAAACTGAACCCTCCGGGAGCGACTTGCGTGCGTTGGAAGTAATGATTTGTGTACCTCTGGTGAAGCAACATGAAGCATTGTTCTTTTGCGCATGCGGCTCAGTTTAGGAGCTGATCTGTTCAGACTGATGTTGCATACAGATCACATATAAAAGATAATGTGAATTAAAAAATCTCACTGCTTTGGTGAGAAAATCAGATTTGGGCCACTTTTACCTGCCGTGTGAACGTAGCCAAAGTGATCTATATAATAAACCAAAAAGCATCGGAACTAACCTCGGAGTCCATTCCTTGCATTTCATTCTTTTCCAGCTGAAACTGTACGAAATCGTCGATCACGTGGAACAGCTCAGGTGAGACGGCTTTGAAGTACTTGTGGTAGTCGTACTTGACAGCCAGGGAAGCAAATATGGTGTTGTTGACGAGCGCAGAGCGCAGGTCGGTCAGCACGCCGGGGGAGTGCTGCCGTGGGTCTTCATAAAGGTGCTTTGTTATGAGGTAGTCTAAAATTGCATCACCAAGGAACTCCAACCGCTGGTAACAATCTGCACAGAGAACATGCAGGAGTAAATCAGTAAACACTGTGGTGAAGGCATGAGCATTGAGAGGATGCTCATTATCTGTTCAGGTCTAGTCTAACAGGCAAATATATCTGTGTTCTCTCTACGCGACAATTTTAAGGAGCTAAAAATTCCAATAACATTGGCTACTACAATTTTGTATGGTCAAAAATTAAACAGACCTTAAAATCAAACAGCAGAAGAAGTAATAAATAAATATTGTAGTGCTGGAGAATCTTTATAGGCTTTTCTCTGGCTTATGTTAATGTTTATTACCTCCTACTTCGCCTACTATTTTTTATATCAGTTCTCAGAACAAGCCACCTATTTTACTTGATCTGCTTACCTTTTAAATACATTCAAGCAACATTTATTCAATCTGTAGAGATCTATCAAGTTAAAATAATATTATAATATCACAAAACTCAATGTAAAAAAAAGTTTAACTAAAAAGAAGCATACTACGTCGTCTTGTGTGATGGCACACATGCACATTCACTTTCGAGCAGTGATAAAAACGGTAATAAAAACTTTTCATATCTGTTAGTTGTAAAATCCAAATGTTATGCTGAAAGCTCAGACTGAGCTGCGTCTGCTTTTATTTGGCTCCAGTACCTCCCCTCACCCCACTGATCTGACTGATCCGACTGATCCGACTGATCCATTGCCACTAAGTGTTCCAGGACCTAATCATTCACAAATGTTTCAGAAGTTTCAATACATTACAAAACAAGCCACTAAATAGCAGTGAATGGAATTAAGACGGGCACTTAAACCTCAATATCAGCCAACAGATATGTGTGTCATGCCTCACTACATTGTTCCTATGTTCAGACATTGCAGTCTGTTTTTCTAGACTCACCTGTGATGGTGTTGTAATGGTACGAGGCGTGGGTGAAGGCCTGCAGAAGGTAGGCCTTGTTTTTGAACGTATAGTTGATTTTCTTTTCAAAGTTCTCAAAGCCGGAGATTAAGTGGTTGAGGGTGCGTTCGGCATCTGGGTGGTCAAACATGCAGCGTGGGGGGATCCTGAGCCAGCCGTACTGCAGCTCAGCTGGCCCTTCCCACTCAGCATCTCCTGCTTCTCCTTTCTTCCTGCTCCGCTTCTCCACCGGAAGCACTTTGAGGCCCAGAGAGCAGAGGAACATCTGGGCCGCCCTTTCTCCACAGCTGGTCAAGTAGCAGCCCAACAGGGCCTCCACGCAGTCTGCAATGCTCTTGTCTGCAATGCACTGCTCCGTGTGGAGGTCGTAGGAGATGGACTGCTTCCCCATGTCTGTGCCACAGTTCTCCTCAGAGGGGTTCCAGAAGCCCACCACGAAGTCGTCTTCCTCACCCGCCTTGCTGGGGTCTAGGTAGCACATGGCATCCCACGAGCTGTAGTCAAACTCATCAGGACCTCCGTCGGAAGAGAACTGCGCGTTGACCAGGGTGGGTTTCTTCGGGGCTTTCCAGTCATAGCTGGGCTCAGCAGAAGGGAAGCTGCCGAGGGATATCTTCTTACCAAAAGCTCCGGAGCCGATTAGCATGGTGTCGATGAACTTGATGTGTTCCTGATAATACTCCAAATCGTCCTCCACGTTCACCTCATCCTTGGGCTCCTTCCACATCAGATCTTCGTCCTCTACATCATCGTCGTCGTCGTCGTCATAGTCATCTTTGTTGGCTTTTCCATTGGCCATGTCTTCCTTTGTCTGAAATGGACAGACACAAAGAAAATATTTGCTAATTAAGCTAAAGGTTGAAAGACAAACTACGCAAATTAAGCAAAGGCTGAAAGAAGTCTGGAAGAAAAGTCTTCGTCAGGAATGTCCCTTTAACAGGCCAAGAACTTTGAAAAACCCACGCTCAATATTCACTTAGAGGGATTTGCAATGATTACAGTTTAAAGAGTTGCAGTTAAAACGCAGTATTAGGTTAACCCAAGAGGGTTTTAAATGTACAAGCAGAGGCTTTCTGTCTCACTCAATGAGTCATAGGCTCTAACGCAATTCAATAGCCTACACGCATCCTGAATATCATCTTTACATCATTTATACACCATAAACCTGACCATGTGGGAAAAACGCTGATGAATATTCATTAAAACGCTAACAGCCCTGACATTTAATATTGTAATAATACAGAGCTGACACTTAAAATGAGTCAGCCTTAGGCAAAAACCAGCATAATCTTACCAGACACATGCACAGCTTAAACCACACCGAGCAACCCAAAACACACAACCCTGCTACAAAATGCCCCCTCAAAAAGCGTGGGTGGATTACTTACGCTTGACTATTTTAATATCGATTTCCGATGCTTTTTGTTTTCAAGACTTACTGATTTATAACACATGTTCAAAGCTCAAAAGCATATAATCAGACACAGTCTAAGTCCATCATGATTTGATCATATTAAAAAAAAAAAAAAGCATTCTTGAATTCCTGTACTTCCCTTTCTGTTTACCTACATTATCCAGAGATAACTTCATTACGTGAATTAGGTTCCCGGACCAGCACACCCAGTTATACAGTTCACCACAGACTGCCAACAGTCCTTAACTCACTCCAATAAAGGAGTAACAAAAGGATGCATGTTAAATTGTGTGTTAAACATCCCCCTACAGCTGCCTGATCTATGATACTCCGGAAAAAAACATCTGTCCTTTGCCGAGACGCTCAAGCATCCCAGGAAGGATGAACGTGCCCCCTAGTGGCAAACATAGAGAAAGGTCAGTTTACAAATAAAGCCAAGATGTTCTTAATAGCCCAAAGCAGACCCATGAAAACAGCTTTGTAATTGTGCATGAAGATGCATGTTGATACTGAGTGAAGCAAAGCCTGCGCCATAAAGTAAACAACAGCAGAAGCTCCGGGAGTCCTACCTCATCCGAGTCCCACTTGTCAGTGCTGCTCTTGTCTTGGTTCACGACGTAGCCTGGGGGCAGCCAGTTGACCGGCGGATCGAAGATAGAGACCACCATTCGGCTGGGCAGCCCCTTCTTCTTCCCCAGGCGGTACAGGTTACAGTTACTGACCTTGAAAGAGTAAAAACATTTGTTTTCCACATTTGGTATTCATCATCTAGACATTAGAAAAACATTTATAAAAATCAATTACCTCATTTCACACAGTGTAAGGCAACGTTCATAATAATAATAATAATAATAATAATTTGAATATTATAAGAATTGCATATGGCTGCTATAGAAACAAAAGCTGCAACTAATAACTAACTCCATAATCAATAAACTTTTGTTATTATGCAATTAATTAGCCAACATGACTGCAAGATCTGTAGATTCTGCCTTCTGCAAACATCCTCATAAAGCACAGTAAAAAAAGGGCAGAGTGGAACTCATAACCTTTAAAAATTAGACATTTTTAATTTAGTTTTCATGCTCAGTTCTAATGTCAGTTTTAATTCTTCACATTTTACCTGTTGATTTATTCTATTTGTTTCATTCTATTTTTGGCAACACTTTATCTGAAGGCTACCTACACAGGGACTTCATAAACAAGCATAAGCAAGTAATAACACTAAAAAGGAGTACTTGAGTAAACTATCGTATTTATGATGATTGGATTATGTTCGTATTTGCATGATATTTTTTTTTCATATAGTAAATAACACTGCATTGACATAAGGGTCCTTAATATAAAGTGACAGAAATTTGTTCCATTTATAACACTGTTATAAAGCATCGCTTCTATTTAACTGAACTTAAAAGCCAGAGGCCTTGTAAAGAAAACATCAGCTCTACTGAAGACTTTGATGGTCTCAAAATAAACTAGTTTTTATACATTTTCCTGAACAGCTTTAGTTTAAGGAATTTTTATAGAACTAATACAGAATACAGCGATCTTCACTGGTCACCTGGCTTAAAAGTACTGCTTTTTTAAAGGATTAACTAGTACTATTTCTGAACAGGTGCTTCCATTGATATAAGCTTTTAGAGGAACTCTGACTGTAAAATTAGATTTAAAAAGCTATTTAAATGGCCAGTAAGCATTCATTCGCTCAGAAACACAACAGAAAAATCTGAAACCAAACTTTGCCTTTTAAACTAGCTTACAAGATATCAATTACTATTTCAAAAACAAGACATTTTTATTACCTTTTACTGTATTTATGTTTATTGGCATTAATTCTAATGATCTACAGTGTTTTTACCAGCAAAAAACATATTTATTGTTGAGATAAATGGTTTTAAACAATGTGTTTAGGCATCTAAGACTTTTGCACAGAAGTGCATATGAGCATAAACAGCACATTATGCAGGACCACACAGCCTACCTTCTTACTCCTCATGTAAGAAAGTCTTCCCTCGTGGGCATCAGGATATGTGCAGAACAGGTAGGTGGTGATGGCGTGCTTGAGGAAGGAGTCCCCCAGCATCTCCAGCCTTTCTAGGTTAAAGCCGTCGCTGGCATTGGAGAGAGTCAAGGCCTGCAGGATGAGGCCTGGGTTGGGCCCCAAGGTTTTGGGGGAGTCCCCAGCCAGTCCTGCAGCAGGAGCTGCAGTTTCAGGTGCCTCTGAAGACACTGACGAAGGTGCTGCGGTGCTGGTTGCCGTTCTGAGCGCAAGGCAACGGTCTGAGGTAGGTTTATTCACATGTCCGTCATGGAAATCCGACTTCCTGCCTGGGGTACATTCATCGCTGGCCTGGGGCTTGGGCTCACCGCTCGGAGAGGGCTGCACAGGAACTGAGGTAGTGGTTTGTGTCGATAGGTCGCTCTCCGACGAGCCCAGCTGGGAACATTGGCAAACGTCCCGCTCGTGGTGGTCACCGCTTTCGCCCACTGCGCCATTGCTGAGGTTTCTGGGGCAGATGCAGGTGCTCCCGTCTTTGTCCGGCGGCTGCAGAGCTGTCTCTGGGAGCGTGTGCGTCTCTAGCTTTTCGTCTGGTGCATTGCAGTTATCATTCGAGAGAGCGCTCTCTGTGGGCTGGGAGGCCTCGGCACTAAGGCCCTCCTGGGCAGTGTGGTCAGGGGCTGAGCTTGTGCCGTGCTTACAGTGATCGTCATCCTCCATGCATGCACTGGGGCATGAAATGAAAGACTTGCTGTCGATGGACTTCTTCCATCCAAAATCCAAATTGGGATACCTTTTGTGGAAAAAAGTGGGGGTATAAAAATGACTGCTAAATACTTTAAGTGCTCATTTTAGCTTTTACTATGTAATTTACTCAAATCAACATCGCTGCTTTTACAAAGTACCATGTAGGATTTGTTAGAAATCTAATGTCCAGTTTCCCCAGGCACTAATAAAGCCTAGTCTTGCACTAAATTGCAGTGTCAATGCTGAATCACCGTTTGAAATTCTTTTTAGGCTTAATCTGGGTCTGGGAAGCTGACTTACCCCTACAAAAACAAAGCAGGCTTAAAAGTTTGTTTTATTAAAGTAAACTTCAAGTATAAAGTTCAAGTATATTTTCCAAGTATATGTTATGTAGTAAATACACTAATATCACTGTACTAGTAGTATACTTGTAGGTGTACTATATAAATACTTCCTGGGACTAAATTGGTCCATGGTTTAGTTTATAAAACTATACTTTAGGTGTAAGAGTTGTAAACTTTGAGTACACAACTAGTTTACATCCAACTTTTATTTTGTACAGCAATTGTACTGTTAACTACACTATAAGTGAACCTTTATGTACTAGTTATAAACTTCTAGCCCACTTTTTAGTTTATGATGAAGCACTACTCTGAAGACACTGCAAGTAAACACATATTTACTGTTAGTTTACCACTTATGTAGTACTAGTTCACTTTTTAGTGTATAAAAGTACACTTTTAGTATATTGTTACATGTAAGAATTGTAAACTTTGAGTACACAACTAGTTTACATCCAAGTTTTTTTTTGTACTGCAACTATACTATGAACTATACTGTAAGTGAACTTAAGTATACTTTTAGTGCACTAATTATATACCTTTATCCCACTTTTTAGTTAATGAAAGTACAATTTATAAAGTATAATTACAGTTACAGGCCACAGTACACACAAGTATTATGTATAAATATAGACAAGTATATGTATATATACACACACACGTAAATACAATTATAGGCCAAATATGCTTAAACCTTTGCTGTATGCTTGTCAGTGTAACAAGAATACTTAAGTTACTAAAAGCACACTTGAATAAACTTCTTTTTTGCAAGGGTAAGCTTATATATTTTCGTTTTAATGCATTTACTAACCACTAAGAGCCCTTTATTAGGCAGTGGCAAAACAAATTTAATTAAACTTGGCAAAACCAGAACCCATTCCATCCCACAATTTACTTTAAGGGTGGCTGCAGCGCTAATAAAAAGACGAAAACACTGATTATCTTCCTTGAAATCTGAGGGAAAGTCCAGATTTCTTGCTCAAATGAGAAGCATCAGATCATTTACAGTAATGACAGTGGAACAGTTTACTAACACCATTGTGCATTGAAATTCTGCAGATAGGAAGTGGTTTTGTTGAGGTAGATGTAGGGGACAGGGCAATGTGACATCAGAATCGGACAGAAGATTCATCACAGAGATATAGACTACATTAATAATCCATCTATACATACACTGGGAAGCCTTAAGAGTCTAACTGGTCCTGTTTAGTAGGGATGTGTACCTGGTGAAACTTTCTTGGGAGTCATTGTTGTGTTTTTAATAGCATTTTAAATGTTTTAAATCATACATTTTAGTGTTTTCCTGGTGCATTGTGCCTGTTAAACACCAGAAAGACAAAATATGATGACATATGTCTTGTATCGTGAAACTGTCCATTATATTTGTGCCATATTATCCACCCCTAGACAGAGCGGTAGTTAACAAGGCGTTTACCGACCCACAGCCGAACTGGCTCATTCCCACAACCTCAGTCTTGTTATGCAGGACTCTCAACAGAGCACTGCAGGTTTGAGACTGACCTGAAGTCGGGGGGCAGGCTCTGGGCCCCCACACCCGCATCGCTGGCCGTCTGAGCACGCAGCTCCTCAGCCGTCAAAAGGCAGTGAAGTCTGTAGAGAATGCTGGGAAGGCAGACGGCTTTCCTCCACAGAGAGGCAGGAATCGGGTGAATGGCACACAGTTCAGGAACTAAAATCTGGACAGATGAGGGAACAGATAAGTCCCGATATCCGACGTGAGTCCAAACTTCGCTAACAGAATTAGCCTGCATGATTACGCCCACTGGGAGTGTGCAGGAAACACACTCACAAGCAGTGTAAGACCATGCATACATCACTAATAATCAGCACAGATCCCCTGTTCAGATTAATACCTGTTTGTTTTGTAGGCTTTCCCACTTGGCCTTCCTCTTCTCGGCACTGCTGAGAGGCAGTGCTTTCCCCTTTTGATTGAGGTGGCGAGGAGTTAAGAGATTCAGTCTGCGGGAAAACAAAAGCACACTCCCTCAGTGAATTCCCTAATAAAATAACAGTGCATGCCGGGAGTAATTCATTCTCTCGGGTTGACCTCCCACCTTGAGGATGTGTGGTCCACGTCCAGAAGGGGCTGGTTGACGTTGGACAGGTCCAGGTTGTACTTGGTTTTGTAGTACTCGGCAAACGTCTCGTACTCTGGAGAGGGGAATTTACTGAGAGGCGTGAGGTCTGTGTACACATCAGCCACATAAAACCGGTGCGGCTGGTCAAAATTACGATACCTGAGGGAGAGAAGATAGATAACATCTTAAGACACTACATGTACTTTCCTTTGTAAGAACAAATAGTGAACATATGAGTGAGTCTTCAAAAGAACAGCTGTCAAGTGATTTACCAAAGGGAGTTGAAAAGTCCATGGAACATTTTTTTTTTCTCTACCTTGGAATGATGACAGCATCCTGGTAGTCCTCCACTTTGAAAGTGAATGGGTTCTGCTTCGTGTACTGGGTGTTAGGAATGCCAATGCGTGCTTCAGATTTTTCAATATCCTCCATGAACTTGAAGTCCATGTCTAAAGTACTGGAATCCCCAACTGGAAAAAAGTAGTTTGGATTCAGACAAAGAATTTTATAAGATTAATGACTACTGACTTATCAAATCCAGCCTGCCACAGGTTCACATTCCGACTTTGGGGGCGGGGTGTCTGGAGAAGATCGGCACTCACCGACATTGAGAGGTAGAACGCAGTAGGCTGAGTCGGCCTCAGTGGGCCTGAACTCCAGTGCAGGTTTCTCTAGCCGGAGGATGTGGGAGAAGATGTACTGGTGCAGGCGCGTGATTAGCTCCAGCTGGGCCGCACTCAGAGTGAAGCCAGACTTCTGCAGCTCGATGGAGATGGTCACCTCACCAGAGCGGGTGTACACAGGAAAGTGAGGAATCTGTACATCAGCAAATTAATTTTGTAAACTCTCCAAGGCAAAAGATTATAAATTATCATTTACAAACAAAAAGACAAGGCAATAGATGAAATGTACAGGTTTATTACTTTTTTATAACAGTTATAAAATATTAGTTGACAAGAAATGAAAAATGATAGTAATCTCTTATAACTTCACTAATGACTCAATTAGTTCAATTATACTAAAGCTCATACTAATATTTCATTTTTATTACTAAGAGATGTGGCGATATGGCAAAAATAAGATATATCAATACTTCAAGACATCTTCCCAGTAAACAATATGCTTTAAAATATTTTGTTTTTGATGTTTAATATGCCAGAACAGGCAAAAAAGAACCAACAATCTCAATACTATCAAAATTCTGATTTTTCTTTAAGGTGTTACAAACTGACTGCACTGAATCCAATTAGACAGGTCTAATTATGCACTCTCTTATGGAATATTCAGTATATCGGTCTTCTTTGATACTAACAATATTGACAATTTGATGTGATGACTTTTCACTGTAATGATAGACATTAGACTGCAGACATCTGCCTATTAGATTTTGAGACAAACATGATGCAAAAACTGATCAAGAAAGTTCTCAAACATTCAGCGGAACAACATTCTTCTAAACAGAGGCCATGGCTAGGTTACAGATGAGTACGGAGCGAAACGGTGGTACAACACTAAACAAATGAATATTACTTGCTGAATAACATTAATCCAAAAGCTCTGAAATCCATACCCGAGGTATTGGTTTAGCTGTCAGAATGCCAAAGCATCTGGTGGTGTCTTCAGGAGGGTACAACTTCCTCCTGCGAAAGTTGAGCTCATCTGGAAGTGGCGTGGTAAGAACCATCCCAATCACGTACAGGTAGTAGGACTGCCCTGGTACTGGATAACTGCCCCGCAGACATTCTGGTATCTGAATTCACAAGCAAACAGATTCGACACCACTTTTAACTGAACTAATGATATTTCAAGAGGTCTCAACCTGTTCTTGCTGGATTAGTTTTACTTGGGGAGATACTATGAGTGCTTATCCAGTATGCAATCCAGTATGAATCTGCAGTGTGTGTAGATTTACAGTCTGGCGGTAATAATTGTGGAGCGATTTTAATCCAGTATGAATCTGCAGTGTGTGTAGTTTTACAGTCTGACTGTAATAATTGTGGAGTGATTTTAATCCAGTATGAATCTGCAGTGTGTGTAGTTTTACAGTCTGACTGTAATAATTGTGGAGTGATTTTAATCCAGTATGAATCTGCAGTGTGTGTAGTTTTACAGTCTGACAGTAATAATTGTGGAGTGATTTTAATCCAGTATGAATCTGGAGTGTGTAGTTTTACAGTCTGACAGTAATAACTGTGAAGCGATTTTAATCCAGTATGAATCTATTTAATCCAGTATGAATCTGCAGTGCACAGTTTTTTACAGTCTGACTAATAATTATGGAGTGAATGGTCTTCTGTAACTAGCTGAATGTGGAGCTCCCTCAGTAATAGCAGTCTTGCTCCAATCCACTTCACGCTAATGGAATAATAAAACCTGTGCAGTCTGTTGTAACTGTTACGGAGCGTGTCCTGTAGCTATAATATTTCAATCCAGGCTATCTGTGGGAATTTAAGGAAAATACACAGACACTTTATCCCAAACCAACCAGCCAGAAAAATCCATTATGACTTGCTTTAGAGAACCTCCAGTGGTAAAACACACTTTGCTCCAACAGTACTTCAACCACACTGAGCTCCCAAAGAACTATGTAAGTGCCGTTTTAAAACACTTAAAATAATCTTAAACACTGTCAAACATGGTCATCAACAAAGAGCTGTACTCACGGCTTTTGGGTAGCACTGCCTCCTCTTAGTAGAGCCTGGCCTTCCTGGAACATTAGTCTCCTCTTCATCATGCAGGTCCAGCTCCTCCTCATACTTCACCGTCTCTTTCCCCACCGGCATTAAGTGATCATCCAGCTCGCCTGAGCACAGCGAGACAAACAGCATTAGTAAATGGAAGCTTTCATTCATCCGCTGCTACAGCAGATGGTGGAGGAAAGTGCAGTCTTACCTATTTTGTGAAGTTTTTCACAACAAAGTAGTGCAACTGCTTTCTCTGCAAGCCTTGCGCAAGGCATCGGGGGCCCCTACAAAAGTACAGATTAATAAATGAGTACAAAGATTAATCCAGTATGCTTTTGATCTGTTCTCGATTAAAGCCTTTACTGTTTGCTAAAACGATCATTACCAAGTAGTAATATGTAAATTATACAGCACTTAAGTGAGCACTCAGTTAAGTATTTATTGTAATGTAATGTACTGCACTTACTGTGATTTTAATCCAGTATGAATCTGCAGTGTGTCTAGTTTTTACAGTCTGACGGTAATAATTGTGGAGCAATTTTAATCCAGTATGAATCTGCAGTGTGTCTAGTTTTTACAGTCTGACTGTAATAATTTTGGAGTGATTTTAATCCAGTATGAATCTGCAGTGTGTGTAGTTTTTACAGTCTGACTGTAATAATTGTGGAGCGATTTTAATCCAGTATGAATCTGCAGTGTGTGTAGTTTTACAGTCTGACAGTAATAATTGTGGAGCGATTTTAATCCAGTATGAATCTGCAGTGTGTGTAGTTTTACAGTCTGACAGTAATAATTGTGGAGCGATTTTAATCCAGTATGAATCTGCAGTGTGTGTAGTTTTACAGTCTGACAGTAATAATTGTGGAGCAATTTTTATCCAGTATGAATAAATGAGTACAAAGAATAATCCAGTATGCTTTTAATCTGTTAGCGTCTTCATTACTTCGTTATTTAATCCTGCAGATTCATACTGGATTAAAATTGCTCCACAATTTGTACCGTACTTGTATTGCAATGCGCTGTGTTTAATTCTGTTCCTTTTTCTCTCCGTATCAACACGGGCTTTTGTTTCTAGCAGTATCTGTCATTTCATGCATCAGTTGTAATAAACTAAAAACTTGAAATCCTTAAAAAAAAATATTTTATAATTAAGATAAATACAGGAGAACTGTAACCCTGGGAGAACATCAAGTGAGGGCAATGAAAGTTGAGACGCTCTTAGGAGAGTACAAAAAAAATCCAATGTCAAAGTTCCAGCCTGCAAAGTGTTTCTAAAACACTTGATTTATTCAGTGAAGAAATAACCAGAGAGCTCTCGTCGCTCGTACTCACAACGATAGGCTCCCTGAGAGGGGAGTTGATTGGAAGGAAGAGCGTGGATTGGTAGACAGCAGTTTTCAGCTCTACAGTCTTACACTTGGGTGCCAGATGGGTGAACGGGTCACTGGGTAGCCTCGCACAGTATCTACAAAACAAGAATCAGATACATTAACCTCAACCACACAACATACACTGTTTGTCTAAAGTTCGGCTTTTTGAAAATAGCAGGTTTAATTTTGATCTTTATATCTTCTTCTTGACGTCAACTCATCAGCACTCAAAGTGTGAGTCACCGATAGTTTGCATCTACCGTGATCATCTGTCAAGCTGAAGGATTTAAATGCACTGCTGCGGCTTTAAGATGCACAAAAATAATCATGTTTGTCTCTTAATCTTTGTTTTCTTTCAGCTTGTGTAGTCCATGTCCTATTTACACCCATCAGGCATAACATTATGACCTTGTTTCTACGCTCATTGTCCATTTTATCAGCTCCACTTACTATATAGGTGCACTTTGTAGTTCTACAGTTACAGACTGTAGTCCATCTGTTTCTCTGCATACTTTGTTAGCCCCCTTTTACCCTGTCCTTCAGTGGTCAGGACCTCCATGGACCCTCACAGAGCAGGTACTATTTGGGTGGTGGATCATTCTCAGCACTGCAGTAACACTGACGTGGTGGTGGTGTGTTAGTGTGTGTTGTGCTGGTCTGAGTGGATCAGATACAGCAGTGCTGCTGGAGTTTTTAAACACCTCAGTGTCACTGCTGGACTGAGAATAGTCCACCAACCAAAAACATCCAGCCAACAGCGTCCTGTGGGCAGCGTCCTGTGACCACTGATGAAGGACTAGAGGATGACCAACACACTGTGCAGCAGCAGATGAGCTGTCGTCTCTGACTTTACATCTACAAGGTGGACTGACAAGGTAGGTGTGTCTAATAGAGTGGACAGTGAGTGGACACAGTGTCTAAAAACTCAAGCAGCACTGCTGTGTCTGATCCACTCGAACCAGCGCAACACACACTAACACACCACCACCACGTCAGTGTTACTGCAGTGCTGAGAATGATCCACCACCCAAATAGTACCTGCTTGGCTACATCAAAGTATGTAAAACACAAAAAAAATAAAGGCTGTTATTGTTGGTAATATCATACTAACAATAATAAGCCATCACTAAGTAAGTCTTACCACTTTATTATTGTGAAGAGAAGTAATTTAAAAGTTATAAACACGATTTATTAAACCTGCAGCAAGAACTATCAAACTACAGCAAGAGCAAAGTTAGCCTGTAGCTTATCTCCAGTTTTAACAGGTTTCTATGTGCTGTTACCACATTACCAGCAGTGCTGAATCGGGTTATTGGAAAAAAGGGCCACAATTCTCAGTTAAGAAGATCCACAATCTCTAAGTGAGGAGACCTGTAAGTCGAAAACCGGCTCTCGCCTGCTCACAGCTAAATAACAGTATATTGCACACAATCTTATATAACTAAACAAAATCTTTGAAGGTATTTTTCTTATTTTCTTACTCGAAAAAATTTAATTTCAAATGAGTTTCCCAAACTTCTAGCAGGTAAGGGCATGAGGTTCTGTGCAAACATTTACTGGGATAATGACCTGTTGACATGGCCGATGGCCGTGTTAATGGTGACCCTGGGTCCTCCATCATCGGAGCGAAGCACGTAGGGTGGGAGTATGTTATCGTCGTCCAACACCGATTCCACCTCATAGTCATTGCACTCTGCTGACTTGGAACACTTGTTTCTGAGGATCTAAAGCGAGCAGACACAAGCGTTAACCACTTTAACCTGGCTTACTTAAAAGAAGTACAAACTGATCTACTGACCTTTGTCTGAATTTCTGTACAAGGCCAATCAAATGTAATTCTAGCAACAATGACATTACTACAACTACAGGAACTAGCAAATGTTCAACTCATTGTTAGGTGATATTTTAAAACTGAAAGGTTATATACATTTACATTAGGGAAAAAAAAACCTTCTGACCTTCTCAATAGCCTTGTAGGTCTTAAGATCTTCTTCAAAGGCTTTTGTGCATTCGCTGTCAGCCAGCATGATGTAATTGGAGACAGGAGCACGCGCTCGACCTTTGGATTGCACGTAGGACCGATACTCCGTCGGTAAGTCGAAGCGGACCACCAAATTGCACTTTGGAATATCCACCCCTTCCTCCACGATGCTGGTGGCGATTAGCAAGTTGGTTTCATGTGCCCGAAATTTCCTTAACACCTGGAGAAGAGCAGTAAGAGGCCATTGGTTTAGCGCAGCTGACCACAGGAAAAGGCCCAAAGTTAAAATGAAAAACGATCATCACTCACTTCCTCCTGTTTTCTGAACTCCACCTCCATCTGCTTGTTGCGAGGCTGATTCTTGCCAATGCTGTGCCCTGTGATGAAGTTGCTACTGATGTAGGCCAGCTCTGGGTCCTGCTTCCCTGCCTCCTTGATTAGCCTGTGGTTCAAGGAGAACATGGACGGTATGAAGACCTAAGAAGCAGCTACAGACCTCTGAAGTTGTGCGTCATTCTGTAGTCGGCGTCATGCCCATATTAGGAACTATGAGTGTGAGTTTTAATCCATGGAGAAACACAAATGCTTTCAAAAATGACTGCTATGGTGCTGTGATAACGCTCAAAATTATTACAAGGTTGTTAAGGAGTTGAAATATAAACAGTGCTACATACATGCTACATGTAAGCTAACACTTCTGCACACTGAAAACTAAGTCTTCTAATAAACGCATACCAACACCAGTTACTCAAACTGAGGCCTAAAATAAGGCTGAACGATTTGGGCAAAATATCTTATTGCAATTTTTCAGACTAATCTTGTGAACGCGATTTAAATTGCGATTATTTTCTATAAATTGAGGTTCAGACCTTTTAACAAGACCAGAACATCCACCTTTTCTGGCTTGAGGCTTGACCCCTTAATGTAGTGTGCCAGAAAACCAGTAAGCTGTGGTTGTGATGTCACAGTACATGGAGGTTTGGAAGTCTCTGACAATAAACAACTCTGTCTTATTGCATTAAATCTCCCCCCTTAAAACTTGACATGATGTTTTTAATAAATTGCAGCTCGAGCGAATTAAAAAAAAAATTGCACTCTTCAGTTGCGATTTCGATATAAAAACAATCTTTCAGCCCTAGCCTGAAACTGCGAAAGCAACTTTACTACCACATTTGACAAAGCTTGTTGGTTCATGTGGGGTAATACTGTTAGCCTTACTACGTGAATTCAACGCACAGCAGTATTGGCTAGCATGCAGCAATATTCATATTTTCAATGATCTCGTAATTCAGAGGAGCTAGCGGCATTCGGGAGAAATGTGCAGACCCGCCAAACGTATCAGGTTTGGAACATTCGTACTGACCACAAGGCACAATAAGGGGGTCTTTTTTCCCCATAAAGATAAACTGCTTAGTCCCCAAAGTTCCTTATATAGGCATGACGCCAACTACAGAATGACAACCCAACTTTGGAGGCCTGTAACACATTTGCAGTCACTGAAATGCAAATTGCAACTACAGTGCATAATTAAATTAAGAAATTAAAGGAATATTTCAAACTGTTACAACCTAGTCTCCATCTATCTTACCAGGAGCACATGGTCTATTACCACATACAATACATTTGATGCATTTCCCTCCCATTGCTTAGAAAAGAGTAGAAAACTGACTTAAAATACAACTATAACACCCATCCATTGGCTTCTCTTCTAAGTTTGTTTCAAGTCTGCAGGTTTTCTGCTCTTTCACTAAGCACAGGGAAACACACTAAAGTTACTGCATGATACAGATGCAATATACTGCTGTTGTCAGAAGAAAACCTTGTATCTCCAAAATGGTAACTTTACAGGAGAAGGAAAAAGCATACTTTACTTTTCATGTAAGTCAATGGAACCAGAATTTTTTCCAAGTCTTTTTCGACCGTTTCTTTTGGTCCATTCAGCATGAAATTTACATACAATGTAAAGGGCAACAGGCATTTTCATATTATGTCAAAAACTGAAAAACGACAAAAATGGAGATACAAGGTTTTCTTCCAACAACAGCGATATACATTTTCAATAATATGTTAAAAAAACGTAAGCAAATTTCTCCGACATTTGAAACCAACCGATTCAAAACAACCGCTGTATATCGTCTCTCCACGAAGATGATCCCGCAGAGGATGTTAGTAAACGGTGAAGGAAAGTTGGCTTCTGGCTTTTCCTTGACCTCCACCTCCTCATCTTCGTCGTCATCCTCAGAATCGCTCCACGAGACATAATTGTCCTGGTTGCGGTTGTTGTACCACTCCACGCTCTCGAACTGCTGCCTCTCAAAGGGCTTGTACTCGTGCAGGATCTCCAAGAGCTTGATGACTTTGGGTGTGACGAACTTCAGGTCCAGAGAGGCCGGGGAGAAGTGCTCCTCACAGAGCGCGTGAAGTTTCCTCAGGATGGTGTCCGTGAAGAGCAGGAACTTGCGGTTCAGCTCCTCCTGCTCGTGCTTGATGTACTTCTGGAGCTCTCGCACCATGATGCCAGCAGCTTTATCGGCACACCACGGCCCTAACACCGTCAGGACCGCTCTACAGTCGGTCAGAACCTGAAGGAAGAGGACCAGAAGCACTTCAGTGAGGAAGCTTTATCTATTTTCGTCTATTTATTTAAGCTTGTTTACGTTACGCACACTCCTGGAACCTCATTGCAAAAGCTAATTTACTGCAATAAGGATCAAACAGGACAAACTGTGTGTCGGTAGATCACAGAGAGCATAATGTATTACTTTATGACTTAAAAAAAAAAAAGAGGGAGAACCTGTTTAGAGATGTAGGTGGGATCTCTGTCTTCTCGGTGTGCAGATAAATTGCAGTCGTTGAGAAAATGCAGAGCTTCATCCAGCTCACTCAGAAGCCTCTCGGACAGCCCACTCTTGTCCTGGTAAGGGCCACAATCCAGCACCACCTCACGAGGCTGAGACGCATACCTGCGTTTTGAGTAATAAAAACAGCAAACTAATAAATCCTCACTGTCCTAAGTTTAAATCTGAAATGGCTCATTTATAGGAAAAAGTGAAATATTCTTAATATCTGTTAAGGTAACCTAAAGCTTTACTATTCATGGAAGCAGTTCATCATTAAATATGAAAACAATATAAAATAGGGATGGAAGGACCGATCAGCTATGTATCGCTATCGGCCGGTTTCAGCCCAAGTATGCAATCGGTGATCGGTCGAAATTTCTCTCACTTAGGACCTCAGTCACAGGACCCTGCGGTTCCTAGTTCAAACTCCAGATGAAAGTACAGACCTTTTGACTATTGACTATGAGACTAAAGGCCTTTTTAGACAGATTCTAATTATTAGATTAAAAAAATGTGCGTTAAGTTTTGAAAATTAACACACGTATGCTGATGCCGTCTTTCACACAGTCCGAAACTGACAGACTGAGATGCTGCGTAAATCTGAGCGTGCTCCACTTTCTACGTTATATGGATGCGTTAAAACCAGGCTCTGTTTTCATGGTTGCAGCCCAAACAAATGTGCGTCAGAATGGCAGCAGAACTCTCACAGCAGAGCACAAAGGCTTATGCTACAAGCAAACGCTGACAAAAAATGCAGAAGTTTAAGACAATTTATGGCAGACAAGAGCTGAGAGGTTATGAATGATTGCGAGCACATTACAGCGGCTGTATTTAACCAGAGTTCACTCCCTCCTTTATAATTCGAGGAGCAACAAGCAGAGCCTCGAATTCCCCCACTGAGGAAATCCCTGCAGAATCACTCATCATGCAGCTTCAGTTAGCTCTTGTAAGAGACGGTGGGACTCCCCGTGTTGTCTTTGTTGTAGAAAAATTCTCTTATGACCGTAAGATAGTATAATATTGCTCACAGGGGAGCGGCAGAATTTTCCATCACGGCTCCATTAAATACAACGAAATAAGAAGTTGACATCTACTGTAAAGGCAGCATTAGGCATCTTTGCTCTTTCAGCTTCTGTGGCCACAGAAATCAGTGTCTGGCATGAAGTTATGATGCATTCAACCAAACTATCAATTTATTTTTACATTTTATGTACAACAAGCACTGTTCAATCTAAAGGTCTTTGCTTATTAAATTTTGTTGTAGTTTAGGCTAATTTTTTGTGGTTTAAAGACGAAGCTTTGGAACATTAAATAGAGAAACATACAGGCACAATTATATGTGTGTGCAAATTATTCAGGCCAACCCTACTATTGCTATGTACCACCCTCCGCTAGACCACCATTATGAATGCAACAAAGTCAACCAGCCACCTTTATTAAAAAAAAAATAATAATAATAAATAAATAAATAAATTAAAAAGCCACACATACCTGTCCAGCACAACAAGATCAGTGGCAGTTTCTGCATTGCTCTTCAGGATCTTCTCCAGATTCTGGATTTTCTCCTCCAGGTCAGATGGGTCACATTTGCCATTCAGAATGGACGCAGTCAGACCAAGGATGCGTGGACAACTCCAACAATCCTCACATTTCTGTAAGCGTGAAGAGGAAACCAGCGCAGAATGTATTGTAAATCAGAAACTGCTATTAAGACGCCTTCAGTGAATCATGAAACATTAAATTTCACCACAATACGATGCGATTAGACCATTTTCAGCTCAGATTAGGGATGGGCAATATGGCAAAAACACTCACACTGACATTTTCTCAATACACAATATGTATGATAATATTTGGACTTGTTGAGTCTTGATACGATGTTTAATGACTTTCATTCACTGTTTACCATACTGCACAGCCTTAAGTACTGACGATACGAATCATATACTCAGGAAAAGTTTACTGTGGAGAAGGGCCATCAAAGAGGATCAGAAATCAAATTTGAATACACTATTTTTAAACATTATTACATAGAAAATAAAAAAGAACCTAAATAACTGCAGTAAATGCAGCCAATGTTGTGTCTACTACAGCCACCAGGGGGCAGTCAGCAGAAATGATCAAACGACCCCAAAAGCACAGGGTGTTTAATCTCGGTCTGAGGGTCGCGGCTCATGAGATGGTCACAAAAAAGGTCCGCGGGCCTGTTCTGACGTATCTCTGAGAAGAATTTTTCATATAATCTCCAAGCCAGTGATTTCCCACCGTCATTATTAGCTTAAGAGAGTGACCGGGCTGCAAGTGCTAGTGAAAAAAGTCTGTAACTGGTGTGTGTGTGGCTGCAGTGGCTGTGCAGCAGTTCAGCCACACAGCTAAACTACCTTAGAAATATTACATGAGTATTAGCATACTGGGCTACGTTTGGAGCACTGGCAAATGAGAGAAGTCCGACATCTGAAGCAGATTATTTGGTTACTTCACACAAGTATGTATTTTTGTCCATCAGCATTATTCAGTTTATAAGATAAACATTACGCCTGAGCTGCTAAAAATCTGATGGATGTCTGCAAATATTCTCATAGCATGTAAAACCCCACACTTCCAACTGAACCCAAAATAAATAATTTTATTGTTTATAGTTAGCAATGGCATATCTGTCTCTCTGCCTGGTAGCTGTCATTTGTGATAATATTGGTAACTAGTCAGCCTAGAACTCACTAGGAACCGCAGCAGTGGTTTTAAACATTCAAATGGACATTTTCGGCATGTTTCCTTTGATTCTGACAAATATTCATATATCGGATTGTATTTTAACAGCCCTACCACACTGCACTGTGCTGTAATTTATCACAATATGATCAAATATTGTCATATTAGCTTTAATTGAGAATATATATACACCCATCAGGCATAACAGTATGACCATAGGTGCACTTTGTAGTTCTACAGTTACAGACTGTAGTCCATCTGTTTCTCTGCATACTTTGTTAGCCCCCTTTTACCCTCTTTTTCAGTGGTCAGGACCCCCATGGACCCTCACAGAGCAGGTACTATTTGGGTGCTGGATCATTCTCAGCACTGCAGTAACACTGACGTGGTGGTGGTGTGTTAGTGTGTGTTGCGCTGGTCTGAGTGGATCAGACACAGCAGTGCCGCTGGAGTTTTTAAACACTTCAGTGTCACTGCTGGACTGAGAATAGTCCACCAACCAAAAATATCCAGCCAACAGCGTCCTGTGAGCAGCGTCCTGTGAGCACTGAGGAAGGACTAGAGGATGACCAACACAAACTGTGCAGCAGCAGATGAGCTATCGTCTCTGACTTTACATCTACAAGGTGGACTGACAAGGTAGGAGTGTCTAATAGAGTGGACAGTGAGTGGACACAGTGTTTAAAAACTCCAGCAGCACTGCTGTGTCTGATCCACTCGTACCAGCACAACACACACTAACACGTCATTTATATATATATATGAAATAAATTACACACTAGTGGAATACAGGCAATAAAAAAAGAAACAATACATCAAGACCAAGGGTTTTTTTTTTTTTGGCTAAAACTGACTGATGTGTAATGATGTACTTTTACACCCCTAATATGCACACAAAGTACAGAACGACCAACTTGATGGCCAGTTTAATATTTTTACACTTTCAATATTATTATACTTTTAGATTTCCACAGCATACTTGTTATGACCAATCACCAGCATTAAATACATGACTATTAAAACGCACCATCTCTCCAACATGACAGCCACCTTTATTCATTTCTCTCTATACAATGACAGACATGAATCTCAGGTTAATATTCTACACACAGACTGTAATTTCACCTTCATTATGTCCCGATAGGGATGGTCCGTGATTGCAAGGTGACATTCGTCAAAAACCAGCAGGTTGATTTTCGATAGTGGCAAGACTCCATTCTTTAGCACATGCAGAAAGATGTGGCACGTCATGACGAGCACCTGGAAGAATAGATATTACGGAAAAGAGGCAGGCAGCGTGAGGGAGATGAAACGATACCGCCCTGCAAAGATTACGGGATGACATGTTGAGCGGAGATCGAATCCGCTCGTGATTGAAACAACACAAAGAAATTCATCAAATGTTTTAAAGTGGCTGAAAACTTTTCCTGTGCGTGTAATCGGACCTGATTTTCCATTATCTCTTGGTTCCATTTTCCCTCCAGCCATGACGTAGAGCTTTCCGTATATTCCCCAACCTGAAGATCTGAATGGGTTCTTACAGTGGATGCTTGCTGAAGCACAGACGATGCTACAAACAAGCACAATGAATAAAAATGAATTACATGGACAAAAGCAGGCACTGATTTCAGGGAAAATACTCCAGAGATTCAGGGGCATTTATACATGCATTAGTTTGCAAAAGGATTGCACCCCTGGTCAAATGAGATGTTTTGTGAGGGAAAATAAGTTAACACAATTCCTACAGGAGATACATCTGCACATTTTAATGGACAATTACTGTTTATTTGCAGAATTTAACATATTTGGGAAAAAAAAATAAAACAAAATGTGGGCTGTGCAAAAGTTATGGGATATTTTCTGACTTTTAAACTGAGTACATGAATAGAAATTCTAGCTAAAACATGCAGATAAAATGCCATATTCATGTTTGTTCCTGTAGAGCATGTCTTAACTTATTTTCATATACTCTATGTATGACCCCTGTCCCTGTGAGGTCAAGAGCAGCAGGTGAAGTGACATGCAAAGTATCGACTATTTAAAATAGTAATCAGTGGTAACACTGGTAACACTGGTAAGCACCCCCCCCCACCCCATTTACACTGATTTACTACACTTCTCACACATTTTTGCTCCCTACACGCATGTTAAGGGGTTAAAATGTTGAATATTGAACCGCTTTTGCCCGTTACACCTGGTTATTTCTGACAAGGACTGACCAACAAAAATAAAAAGCCAGTCTCTTCCATGCATCGTTTACAAAAACAAAAAAAGAAGGCAACGGAGCAACCCGATGGATTTGATTAGCTACCTGCATTCACCAGGAAAACAGTCCTCCTCCCATTCTCTTGGCGGATTTGGTGGGAGAGCTCTTTTATAAGAAGTACTGCAATAAAGGTCTTCCCTGAGCCTGTATTTAAGCAGACTATAGTATTGTGTTCGAGAGCTGCTTCAAGAAGTTCAACCTAAAGAAAGGAAAAAAGCAAACAGAGGGTGAGAAGAAAGTAAATCGATCATATGGTTAACAACCAAATATGGAACATCAGTGACCAAATCTGCAAACTAGAAAACAGGAACAGGTCTTCAGTGTCATACATTAAATTTAGAGGGAAAAATGAAGCCACTCTAACCTGGTAACATTTCCAAAGGCATATTCAGAATCATTTCAAGATTCAAGTGTAATTTCTACATTAAAACAAAACAGTGGTAGCGAGATATGTGGTTTGAAAAGCACTGTGCTTAATCAGGCTCTCTACAGGAGGAATCCAAGACATGGAAACTACTGGGGCTGTATGATAAACAGCATTTATGATAAACACTATAAATGCTTCCCTGCTGGGTCAGTAATGGCCAGATACAAAACTAACTATAACAAATAACCATGGACTGCATGGTTAAATGCATGAAGCGGTAATGGCTACTGTCACAACAAACCTGCATCATCATAAGGAGCTTTTAACCCTTAGGACCTGCAAAACAGTAGGTCACTTCTAGACTTCATAACATCAGAACAGTTTAAGATACACACATGATCCACATATCAGGACATACAGCAGACCCGCCCCTAACTCGCAAACACGACGTCATTGAGCTGTGAAGTCAGCATCAGTGAGTAGTTCGGCTCTGAAAATCACCTAAAATCCTGATATTATTGCTCTGCTTTCTGGCCTTTATATTCCAACAAAGGGTTAAAACAGGGACATGATTCACACATCAGATCACTCATCAGACTCTGACCTCACCATCCAGAGTGATTTCATCCACCTGTGACCATCAATCAGCCAGCAGTCCAGCTCCAAAATCACCCAAAACCCACTTGCTATTGTTATATTACATCTCTGCTTTTAGCCTTCATATTACAAACAAAGAGCTTTCAGTTTACATTGATTTTGAATATTAAAAATATCTGATATTAAATATGCAACTCAATTTGTAACTTAAAATAAAGCCTGTCTTCCTGTGTATCAGAGTTTTAGCACTCAGCATGAATCCAAGAGGACAGAAAATCAATAAAACACGTCCACCTTCTGCTAATTGTTTATTTTTATATTATGTTGGTTATTTTAATCACCAACAGAATGAACCACCATCAAAATTATTGCAATTTCAGCTCACAGACACTCCAGCTAACGATTTCTGAAAAGATAACTACAACTGCACTTGTTTTCAGGATCTTTTTAATTTAAAAAATATTTAGCAGGCACTAGGTATATTTTTGATCAGAAATGACCCAAATTCATAAAGATATCAAATTTCTGTTAGCATTTACATGTCAAACAATGGCATATCTGAGTAGCCCAGGGTCTCCTGAAAAAAAACAAAAAAAAAACAACATATGGCATGTGTGACTGTCACATGTGAATACTTTATAATTGCAACTGTAATTGACCCAAATAATACCAAAAAAAAACTTTAGGTTTCTAAGGGTTAAAGGAATGAAATTTGCACTTTTTTTCCATTTTTCTGTAGGCCTATTTAGAAAAATATATGTGCATGTATTCATTTATGCACTCATGCTCAATTTATTTTTTGAAGGCTATACACAAGAAGCTGTGTAAAATGATCAAAGTAAGTTGCTCTGGATAAGAGTAAATGCACAAAAATATGCAGCTCTGTATTAGTAATACATTATTTTTATTTAGCAGAAGAGTGAAAGGGGCTTTGGTAATTTGTATTCCGTTAATGAAAAAAAAGTGGGGCACATCAAGTCAGAGGAACACTTTTTTAAGAATAATATACACGTTTTAAGAATAATACATCATTTCTCATTTAGTCATTCTCTTATCTAACAACATTTTATTCCCACATTGCGCGGGCCTATGAAGTACATGAACCCAAAGCACAGAACCCACAGCACAGGCATTGTATTATTTCACTACAAACACAAAAATGTTTCAAATTTCCACATCATTTAAACCAATTTTATAAGCAGTTTAAACAGAAGTGGCTCCTACAGTGTGTGAGGTCTTAAACTGCACACAAAAAACCTTGAGGCTTTTAAAAATAACTAATAAACTACTTTGGCACGATGCAGCCAAAAGCTCTTCTTGACACCGTCTCTAGAGACTTGCCTGATATTTCCTTGGTGTGTATATGTTGTCGTGGATAGCTTCCTGTTGCCATGGGAGACCAAAGAAGGGCCCCATGGGTGAGGAGGCAGGGGTCACCAGCTGTAGTCCTGCCATGCTTAGAGTTTCTGAAGCAGGGGGCCTCCACTCATCCAGTGTTTATCTCATTTCATCCTGGTCTTCTAAAGCTCACTGCACAGGAAAAGACCACAGTAATCAGCTCTCATTCAGACTCTCAGACATAAAGCTTCACTTTGTTCTCCCGGCTGCAAAAAAATGATTAAACTTTCGACGGATAAAAGTAAAACTGTAGTCAGCCAAAGAGAAAAACACCAAAAAAACCCTGAACATGGCAAAAATACTTTTAATGTTGTAGCAGTCATTTTAAAACCTTATAACTCAAGCTGTTTTTTAATAAACACTAATATTAATATAATAAATCAAACAGGAATTCCTTTACTTTTTCCCACTATGTGGTGGTGATAGGAACTAGACACCTGAAGAGTTTAACGCCTCTGAAAACTCCCTCAAAGTTACACGCCGCCCGATGACTGAGGCATTATTTTACACCAGATTTAAGATAAGATTTTAACTTATTTGTATATCCATATATCGAGCAGATGCACATGCAGGGCAAAAACAGTACCCAAGGAAAATATATCTTTTCAGAAAAAGACACATAGGTTCACTGGTTGTTTAGGATGGTCAATAAAGGTTGCAAGGTAGCCTTATTTCCAGAAATTGTTATGTCCATTTAAAAAGCATGCATTTTTTGCTTCTCCATAAATTTAAAGCTTATCATGAAGTTTTATGTCTACAGTGTTTGCAAAACCTGACACCTCCTGGTTGCTCTTCCAATAAAGAGGAGAAATAAACCCAAAGAGATGAGTCTACTTGGTACCGTCTCCTGCTCTACGCCTTTAAAAGTGTTGGTGGTTTGTAACAAGCAGGTTTGTACTCACAGGGTATGTGTTCAGCACGATGCTGTGGGGCCAGGGAGAACTTATTCTGGGCTTCATCATCGGCGCTCCTCACTCAACGCATTCAGCAACCCGTCCCTCCCCCAGACACACGGCCAGAGGGTCTACAGCACAGAGACATAGCATGTTACGCGCACCATCCGCCATGTGCACACAGCAGAAAAAAACAAACACAGAGAAAAATTTAGGCGGATGATAAGTGAGAAAAAAAACTGGCTCAAGCAAGAATTTGTATTAAAAATATTCTAAATGATCCCAGGTGTCACATCAAAGGCTTACATGTTATGAAAAATGTTAAGGATATTAAATATTATGCGCACATTTCATTATTTTTTCCTCTTTTCTACATAATAAACAACACTTTTATGATCAATTATCTAAAAATACATTGATTTATATCTGCTTAGAAATGGCTATAAAAATAGGGGCCAGTTTCCCAGACTAAGATTTAGCCTAGTCTTAGACTAAATTTCAGTGTCAGTGGTGAATCACACTGAAAACTCTATTCTATACTTAGGCTTAATCTAGGTCTGGAAAACTGACTGGGCCCTTTTGTTTTACAGTAGAATGGCATATGACCTACACTGTCTAGTCCTAACTCAAATAAAGCTTCATCTGCTTTTTTTATGATTTAATACTTCACAGAAACGCATGTATCACCTTCACACAGTTGATGGGTGGTCACAGCCTGAGACAATATTCCTTCAACGTTCTGAAAACAAACCAGAAAAATGACATTATGGACGTATCTGTGGCAAAGGCATGGCAGCTGAATCTGGATGACAACTGGCTTGTCAACACATTTCTGCCGCACTAAAATCAAGACCAAACGTCCCCCCACCCCTCGGCAGACCGCCGCTGCTCTACACAGCTGCAACGCATCACAGCTCAGCGGCGAAAGCACATTTGCTCTTGGTTAAAATCGCTTTCAAAATCGGTGTGGGAGTTCATGAATCTAATTCAATCACACGCTGCTCAGTTTCAGCTTTTTTAAAACGCTGACACACATCTCTTTTGGTCAGTGACACATTCTCTGCTTTAATGCCCCAATGAAAAATTTGTACTTGTGTTGCGGCTACATGGCTGCCCATTTTAACCCAACGGTACAGGAGGGAAAGAGCACTGAGGGTGATGTTTAAAGTCTAGAGAAGAGGAGGATGCCTTCAAAAAGGTGCCACGTTTTGAGCCTCCTTTTAAAGCAAAATCTTTGCCTGAAGTTTTTGTCTTGGTGGGGGCAAGAAAAACACTTGTAGTGCACTGAAGGCCAAAAAAACAAAACAATAGTAAGGAGGTTTTAAAAATGTATTAGAACATTATTTTGTGGCAAAAAAAATACATTTTAAAAAGAAAATATGGTTCAACAAGTTATAAAGTTTTAAAAAAGTGTTAGGGTAACTTTCTGGCAGTCGAAATCAAGCATCCTTGTGGTGCAACTTTTGGGCCAAGGGCCACACTTCGGACCGTCAAAGTGATAGTCTGATTTAAAAAAAAAAAAAAAAAAACAATTCTACGCAACTTTCCATCCCAACTTTGTCAATTTTTATAGATAATATTACATCCACATCCAAAACCACATAAGCAAGCCTATTTTGAGATTACTTAACAACTCAAAGCAATTTAAGGAAAGTGTGTGATGTTAGGTTAGCTACATTAGCCTTGCAGCTTTGGGCATCTCACACTATACGACTGGTTTTTGCAGAATTTTTTGGGCGAGTGAAATATTGGGGATCACACACGACAACCTTTAAGATGAAACTTTTAAGTACTGACTGAACCTGCGCAAACTCGCGAAACCACCCGTTACTAGGAGACGCAAATAAACAAACGTGGAGCTGCTGCCACCGTTTTCTCTGGCAGGTAAACGTGTACGTGAGGCTCATGGATCTAAAAATGTGATCAGTGGTGTTTTTAAAGTTTTAAATGTACATAAACCCGACTGTGTTCGTGTCTTAAACTCGGCTCATTAAAAAGCTTCGCTCCACATGTGAGACTTCACCATTTTTCTCTGTTTACTTGCTGGATTTTCTTGTTTCGCCCTCTGAGTTTTCATTGGCTGTTGCAGGAGTCTGTTCAGATTGAATCGTTGATCAGTTTACACTGGATTTCACTCAAAGGTCGGGTCAAAAAATCAAACATGTTTGATAAACTCTGACTGGTCTGAAACGCGATCAGGAGGCAAAAAAATCTGATTCTGTGCCCCTCGCACACGACTCTATTCTCTCTCCAACTGACCCCAAAATCTGAGGACTAGAGCCGACCAGCAAAGAATCGGGCCAAAAATCGAGGGAAAAGTCGTGTAGTGTAACCCCGGCTTAACCTCATTCCTGTTTCAGGCTAGCAGGCAAAGAAATAACTTCTCAGCCACACAGTTTGGACAGTCTTTGTCAATTTTATGCCAAATAAGCCTTGAAAGTTTGCAACCTCTTGTAATAAAATCCTGTAATATTACTCTACTTTGTAAGTCGACATGGTTCTTTTGATGTTCTTTTCAGGTGTCGTGCCAAATTCTGTCTCGCTGGCAGAATCAGACTTCCCTTCGTGTGCACGTGCATCATGCAGGCTTATGGACGCTACAGATTTACACACAGAAAGCACTGAAATCATGAGTGCAATCTGTAGCATTCATACGCCTGCATGACGTGCGTGAACACAAAGGGGATTCTGGTTCTGTAACCTTTAGCTCTTCAACAACTGCATGTTTCCATGCAGCTGTCCAAGAGGGAGCTCAGAGCACAGTTTATACACCGATCAGGCATTAAGACCACCTCCTCGTTTCTACGCTCAGTGTCCATTTTATCAGCTCCACTTACTATATAGGTGCACTTTGTAGTTCTACAGTTACAGACTGTAGTCCATCTGTTTCTCTGCATACTTTGTTAGCCCCCTTTTACCCTGTTCTTCAGTGGTCAGGACCCCCATGGACCCTCACAGAGCAGGTACTATTTGGGTGGTGGATCATTCTCAGCACTGCAGTGACACTGATGTGGTGGTGGTGTGTTAGTGTGTGTTGTGCTGGTACGAGTGGATCAGACACAGCAGTGCTGCTGGAGATTTTAAACACTGTGTCCACTCACTGTCCACTCTATTAGACACTTCTACCTTGTCAGTCCACCTTGTAGATGTAAAGTCAGAGACGATAGCTCATCTGCTGCTGCACAGTTTGTGTTGGTCATCCTCTAGTCCTTCCTCAGTGGTCACAGGACGCTGCCCACAGGACGCTGCTGGCTGGATATTTTTGGTTGGTGGACTATTCTCAGTCCAGCAGTGACACTGAGGTGTTTAAAACTCCAGCAGCACTGCTGTGTCTGATCCACTCAGACCAGCGCAACACACACTAACACACCACCACCACCACATCAGTGTTACTGCAGTGCTGAGAATGACCCACCACCCAAATAGTACCTGCTCTGTGAGGGTCCATGGGGGTCCGGACCACTGAAGAACAGGGTAAAAGGGGGCTAACAAAGTATCAGAGAAACAGATGGACTACAGTCTGTAACTGTAGAACTACAAAGTGCACCTATATAGTAAGTGGAGCTGATAAAATGGACAATGAGTGTAGAAACAAGGCGGTGCCTGATCGGTGTATGTCTATATGTTGTGCTGAATTTTTGTTCATCACGAAAAAAGATAAGCCTACAGCCCTGCAGTAACATCAGCTGATGGTCAATTTTTCCTCCTTAAAGTTAACAGATTGTCTGTTCAACAGCCCCTCTGGACACTTCAATATCAAAATTAGTCAGAATGAACATCTTTAGTCTCTGAATTAGAGTTTTTGCCAAATTATCCCTTTAAATTGAAGATGACGCACTTCAAGAACCATTCTGGGCGATCACAGAGCAGGTGAGGTTCTTCAGCAATTGCAGCAGATGCACAAACACAACACAGCGAAGGTTGTGGGACGACCTGCTCTGATTGGACCCAGCACACGAACGACTGCGATGCCAGACAGGCTGCATACCGTTGAGGCAGTGAGGTTCCAGAACAAAGCCATGAGCATGACCTACATTAGCATGCCAATGGCAGCTACGACTTGGAGAGACCACGTCAGCACACACTCGAGAGCTTCAAGCCTCAGTCCAGGTCTTATCTATACATCTCAACAAAGGCAACCACACGGCAGAACATTAGCACTGCCAAAGCACAGTTCTCAGCAAAGGAAAGGCCTGAGTTAAAACTGGGCCATATGGCAAACGTATAGCCCATCATACCTACAGACACTTTCATAAAACACAATATATTATCATCATGATATTTAGTTTTTTTTCAAGGTCAGGAACGAGTCGGCAAGGACAAAATGCCCCAGCAAAATGGCAACACCATATTTTAGAAAGATAAAACGCTTTATGGACAATTAGAAATAAACAGAAACAAAGCAGAGTAAAATAAAGTAAATACAAACGAAGAAATGTCACCACGGGGTTACATCCAACCTGGTATTTATTATTATACAACAGTTAGTTCCAGCCACTCAAGCTGATTGGTTGAGAAGTGTTTTCACAAACGCTGTATCACTCCGCCTTCAACAGCTGTAGGAGACGCTGAAGCCATTTGAACGTTTTTACTTCTTACTTTGCCACAAACAGAAAATGGACGCTTTAAGATCTCATTTGACCGACAGCCGATTTGGTCAGACTCTGAAGACGAGACGACACTAAATTCCCAAACTGTCATCACCACTGAGCAGCTTTTCAGTCGGCAGCTGTGACAGAAGAACAGCTGAACATCCTGGAATCAGCCAGAAATGAACCCAATACCATTTGCCAAACTAAACAGGCTGTAAGATGCTTTACAGACTGGCTGGAACAAAACAACATTAATACTGATCTGGCAAAAACTGACAAAACTGAGCTGAACTTGATATTGCAGCAGTTTTATGGCTCAGTCCGATTCGGTCAGACTCTGAAGATGAGACCACACGCTTGGCGAACGGTATTCACACTGTACGTCTGAATCGGCCATCGTGTGCGAACAAAGCCTGCGATTTATGTGCTCACACTGCACACGAAAGCCTTCTGAGATTCAGCCATGTGTGCACAGTTCCATACCGGACAAACAGTGCACTAGTTCGGTGTAGAAGCCAGATTCAGCCACTGACAAACTGCTACACCAGCTTTGCTAACTTGTGCCACACTGTGCACTGAAGCTGAAGAGCAGGTGATCTACAGACAGACATAAAACAGAAAAAAAAATAATAAAATCACCGTATTTACTTATACCTCGAAATTCAACTCAGTCAAACGGAGCAAAGTCGGCATACACGGACGTTGGTGCCGCAGATATGGACTTTTTTCCCCTGTGTAGGAGCGACTGGTTGTGATTGTGTGTGGTTTGGTTGCGACTTTGAGAAATTGGTTCATGAAGCTGCTCACACGTGGGACAAGCGACCAAAATTTCTGACATGTCAGAAATCCACTAGACAGTCCGACTACTCAATCACAGCTCGTTTGGGCAGTTAATCGGGCAGTTTGGGCAGTTAATCGGGCATCGTTTCCCCTCTCGCACTGCATGGCAAACGACAGGCAATGAAGCTGAAAATCGACCCGATCATGAAATTCAGTCGGCTCCGACCAAATCGGGCTTAAACACGGGCTAAAACTGCACAGTGCACACCTGGCTTTGGTCCTGTTAACTGGATGCAGTGCAGTGCAGTGCAGTAGCACTACTGTGGCTATTTTCTTTTCCAACTTACCAAACAGCAGAAAGGCTAAA